TAAAAGGACACAATACCTTTTTAAAACTTATTTGCTTTTATGCGGTGCTGAGGATTGAACTCGGTGATGAGAATTGAACCCAGTGCCTCGCACATGCTAGGCATGCACTCCACCACTGAGCTACAATCCCAGCCTTTTTTTTTCTTTTTGAATTTTTAAAATTTGAGACAGGGTTTCACTAAATTACTGAGGCTGGCCTTGAACTTGTGATCTTCCTGCCTTAGTCACTGGAATTATAGGCATGAATAACTGCACCTGGCATCACCAGGTTTTCTTTTGTTTTTTCTTTTTTAAAGCTACAGTCAGGATGATAAAAATTTCTGTTACCATTTCAGTGATCTAACAGAATGGTGAAGGTGAAGGTGAGGTATGGAGCTGYACTTCTGTGTGTGTGTGAGGTGGGGTGGGGGCTGGAGAGAATGTTAATGAGGGAAATTATATCTGTCAGAAGTTTCTGAACTGAAATTCTAAACCAATGCCTGGAGAACCAGTTTTCAGAATTTGTCTTTATTATTGGTCTATGGCTTATTTTTACTTTATTATTATTATTTTTATTATTTATTATTGCTTTAGTATTGCTATGGCTAAGTCTAGTTTCTTATTTGTTAACACTGACTGCTGCATGAGGAAAATTCTCTGCCCCTTGGAGTGAGAGTTACACCTCTAATTAAAGATAATCTCTTTCATGTGGGGGTGAGCTCATGGATAGTATCAAAACTAAACAAAACTTTTCAGATGAAATCTCTATAGCCCTAGGGCTAGGAATGCAAACTCAATGTTTGTGGAGACCAAGGTGGTAATGTTAATGAGTCAAGCTGCCAGGGACAAAACAATRTGGAGACCCAGGGCTAAGGTCTGTGGCTGCCTAGACTGCCTGTGCTCTGTGCATTGCCATGTTGGAATGTGGGTCCAAAATGTTACCAAATCTTGGAGCAAAAGGGAGTTCTTCATGGAAATATGTATATTTCAAGAACAGTAAAAATTCAGATTTGGGAGGAGAAATCTCTGAATTTTTAAATGTTGGCAGCTAATTTAGAAGATATTTTTTGAACCTCAGTGAGGCATGCTATATGAGCTGTGGATGGTCAGTTTATGACTTCTGGCATTAGGTGTTTGCATAGTGTGACTGGTTTCTTACCCAGCCCTACTTTATTGCATTCTATTGGTGTGAATTAGTGACAGGGCCTCCAGGATGTCTCTACCCTAGTTCAAGACTCTATACATCCTCATTTGTACCATTCAGTAGCCTACCAACTCTTCTCCAATTCACTGGACAAATTGTAGCCATGGTTAACCTTTCAAAATATCTTTGATGGAGTCYCATTTTCTACATGATTTTTTTCCCTTTGTGTTCAGTCTGAGTTCTATTTATTCTATCACAGAATATAGAAACTCCATAACAGAGTGTTCAAGATTCTATATTGTGGCTTTCTGCTAACTTTCCAACTCTACTACCACTCTAAAACTCATTTCCTTTTACTCTTTTTCCAAATTCCCAGAAATGAAGGAAAAGCTATTTTGAAAAATAAAGAAATTTTTATCATTGCTACCAAAGTGGGAGGGGGGATATCACCAAGTCATCATAAATGTTGATGATTTTCTGAAAGGTGAACAACAAGATTGAAGGAAGAAATTAGATCCTGAAGCAGGGTTTAGAGAGGACTGTAGTGAAAGGGGAAAAGGGTAGTGGAACAAAAGGAGTGCTTCAGATTCAGAGGCTATGGACCCCAATACAATTCTGAGTTCCTTTCTCGCTGATATTTTTAAAAATATTTTTTTAGTTATTGATGGACCTTTAATATATTTGCTTGTTTGTATGTGGTGCTGGGAGTTGAACCTAATGACTCACACATATGAGGCAAGATCTCTACTGCTGAGCTACAACTCCAGCCCCTTTTCTCTCTGATTTTATAAATTGTTTTGAAGTAAAAAATAAGTTAACACACTTTGATTAAAGC